GCTATGAACAAGGTTATGTAATTCAACAAAAAGGAGCTTGAGGTCTGAGGCGATGTGGAAAAAAAAGAGAAATAAATCAGGATCAAGTGGCGAATACTTGAGCTTCGTTTCACCTTGTAACACCTCCATTTATTTCTCCATTTATAATTTATAGGTCACTGTGGATTGATGCAATAGAGAAGGAAAAACTTCATTCAATACAGTTTACTTTCAGCGTTTTATGTCTCTGTAGCAGGACAAAGATTTCATGATGAGCTACATCAATGCAAAGCTGAACTCTGTCTTTTGTCTCAGTGGCTTAAAAACTTGAAAGGAACTCTCTTCAATCTTCTAAAAAAAAGTAAGGATTGAAAACCTGGGGCACTTTTTTTACATTTCCGTTATCCCTTCCTCGTTTTTTTTTTTTTTTTTAATCTAGCAATGAGAGTCTTGGAGCTGATTGCAGTGCCGTGACGGATGTTAATGCCCAGGGATTCGTGGAAAAAAGAGGTAGTTGGTGCTAGAGTTGGGGGCTGGGATTTAGCCAGGCTTCAAGGATTTTGCGGTGCCCTGGACCCCGGGCACTGTCTTGAGCCCCTGTCATCTTCTGTGGGAGCCAGGAGTGACACTTAATGAAGCCTCGCTGTGTGTAGTGCAAGAAGGAAGTCATGCTTCTCTCACTCCGAGAAGCCATTGGAGCTGCTGTAATGAGCACAGACATCGTGCTGTAGTGGCCATTTAGCCTCCTCGCGCGGTCACTGTGGCTCAGCGCGCTGTGATGAGCCACTGGCACAGGCTTGCATGAGCGGAGTGGACAAGGGACATATGCTGCGCTACTGAAGCCAGACTGCAATGTCTCACATGGAATCGTGTTTATGTCTTCAGTGTTGACTCTCTAAAGTGGACCCAAATGTAGAGAATCGGGTAATGCCAGAATATGATGTGTACATGGGTGGATTATGAGACAGTGGGCCCCTGGGCACAGATATGCAAAGGGCCCCACCACCTCTCCTACATAGGAGCAGGACACACAGGTGGTTGTGGTGGTTTTGTGTCTCTTTGTGGTTGTTTCATGTCTCTTTGTAGGTGTTTAGATCTCTTTGAGGTAACATCATGTCTTAATTGGTCTTTTTTTGGCCATGTAATCATTCTGTGTATCCTTGTGGTTGTCTTGTGTCTCTTTGTAGTCATACTGTGTCTTTGTAGACATAAGGTGTCTCCTTGTGGTCCTTTTGTGTCTCACTGTGGTTGTTTTGTGTCTCTTTGTAGTCATTTTGTGTCTCATTGTGGTTGTTTTGTATCCCTTTTTTAGTCGCTTTGTGTCTCTTTGTAGTTGTTTTGTGTCTCTGTAGTCATTTTGTGTCTCTTTGTAGTCGTTTTGTGTCTCCTTGTGGTTGTTTTGTGTCTCTTTGTAGTCATTTTGTGTCTCCTGGTGGTTGTTTTGTGTCTCTTTGTAGTCATTTTGTGTGTTCTTGTGGTTGTTTTGTGTCTCCTGGTGGTTGTTTTGTGTCTCTTTGTAGTCATTTTGTGTCTCCTGGTGGTTGTTTTGTGTCTCTTTGTAGTCATTTTGTGTCTCCTGGTGGTTGTTTTGTGTCTCTTTGAGGCCATTTTGTGACTTACTGAAGTCATTGTGTATCTCTTTGAGGTAACTGTGTCTTTTTAAGCTGTTTTCATTACAGTGTCCTACAGTGTTGTTTTGTGTCCTTTAAGAGACATTTGGGACTCTCCGGGGTAATTTTGGGGCTTTTTGAGGTAATTCTATTTATTTCGTGTGTCTTTACAGTTATTCCAGTTTCTATGTGGTTGTTTTATGTCTCTTTGCAGCTCTTTTACATCTGTTTGTGGTCTTCTTGTGTCTCTTTGTGGGCTTTTTGAGTCTTCTCCTGGTTGGTACGTGTTAAATTGAGAGAAACTTTGAAAGTGAAAGCCAAAGGGCCCCTGAAACTTTGGGCCCCTGAGCCTGTGCCCGGCAGGCCTGCTCAGTAATCCATCCATGGTTGTGTACTATAAGTGCTGAAACAACTGTAATAATCTTATTGAGAAGTTACTGCTTTGAACTCTACATACTGCAACTAAATATCTGCGGAGCACTGAGGCTTTGTGCTTCATGCTGTTAATTGTTTCATATATTCCTACAGTGAATCAGTGGGCAGACTCACTCAGCAAGATAAGAGTGGAGAGCCCTGCTGATTATATGCCATCATCTCCAATTAATCATTACTGCTTTATTGTACATTGAATGCATATTCAAATGACGCCTTAAAAATGACTTTCACTCCATGCAAAATGTCAGAAATGAGAGCTTTCAAAATGCTAACTGAGAGTTACACAGATAATAAACGACGTCTGGAGCGGTGATAAATGGCAAAAACTATGCTTTTTCTTTTCTGTTTTTTTTTTTTTTAAACTCAGCTGTGCAGCTCAGAGAACTGCAGCTGCTCTTTCATTTACGCCTGTTGGCCTTGATGTCCATTTTAAAATCACTCGGGTATAAAAACAAAATCGTTCCGTCCTGGTTATTTATTCTTCTGTTTTGAAGAGGAGCGGCAGAGAACAAAGTTAGCAGCACTCCTTCACACCTTTAATTTTAAGATAAGCGAGGTCTGAGCAGAACCAGAAAATAAACGTCTCTCTTAATTCAATACTTCACATATTCTGTCTCAAAACTCATTTTTGTTGAATTAAACATAAAAACCAAGAAAGTTCATTCTCCTCCATCCTAGTACAGTTTCTTTTGTCCAAGCCCTTTAGTCTCAAAGCATATTTCACTCATGGTAGATAATGTTAGTCTGTGTGTTAAGTCTACTCAGGTTTTCTGAGGACATCTGAGTTTCTCTAAGGGTTTTTTTAAGTGGGGTTGTATGAGGTACTTCTTCCTGCAGTAGATGGCAGTCAGCACACCTCCAGTATGGAGATGCTGGAGGGAGTATCACCACGGAAGCTTAGCAATGCTCTTTAACGCCACCAGACTCCTTTGACAAAAACAGTAATTTTACTTCAGTCAGGAACACCCTCGTTATAGATTCAACCATTTATCCCAACAAATGTAAATACAGTTACGTTTAGTGCTGATGGCTCCGCTCTTAAGATGCTCCCTGGAATAGACAAGCAGCATGCTGAACCAAAACAGTGAGCTCAGTGCAGAAAATCGCCCCTGGGGATACAAGAGTGGGCCCAAGCAAGACATTTAATACCATTTTGACCTTTGAGCCATGTTAGAACTCTGAATAAGAAAGGTGGAGGCTGGGGTGATGGAGCAAGGCTTTGCCAGCAGCAGCAGCAGCAGCAGCAGTGGTGTGTGGCAGCATTGGTGTACCAGGGATCAGTGAGTAGGAAGTCGTATTTAAACAGACCACCTTGCGTGGGAATGGGCTGTGATTTTAGGTGGCTAAAATACGTTTTGGTGCTGCCCCTGTCCACAGCAGTACATTGTTTCGCTTTCTGCCTGCAGGTGCCTGTTATATACTGAGTATGGATAAGTACCACATACAACCCAACTTCAAACTAGAATTACCACCCCACACTTGAATGCCTCTGCGCACCAGTCAAGTTGCAGTTATAGTTTACACCTGTGTCTGTGAAAACATGGCTGCTTCACGATCTATACAATCAGCACAGTTTCAAGATTGGTGTCACCAATTCAGTATCTGACCAAATGTAAACTCTAATCCTGAGTTATGACTTTGAATAATGGCCAGAAACATGTTTATGCAGAACACTGTGATGTCAGGGTGAAGCTGGTTTTGACCTTTTGGATATAAAATGTCATCAGTGTATTGTTTTATCCTATTAGACTGTGTGGATCACAGTGACTTTAACCTCTGACCATCAAATTCTAATCAATTCATCACTGAGTCCAAGTGGATGTGTGTGCCAAATTTAAGGAAACTCCCTCAGGGCGTTCTTGTGATATTACATAGACGAGAGTCAAACAGATGAGGTCACATTGATCTTTGGCCACCAAAATCTAATCCATTCATCGTTAAGTTCAACTAGACGTTTGTGTCAAATTTGAGAAAACTGCCTCAAGTTGTTCTTGAGATATCACGACCACAAGAATAAAACAAATGAGGTCTTAGTGCCCTTGACCTTCAACCGTCAAATACTAATAAGTTCATAGTTGAGTCCATGTGGATGTTCGTGCCAAATTTGAAGAAATTACATCAAGGTGTTCTTCTGATATCATGTTCATGGGAATGAAATGGCGCAAGGTCACGGTGACCTTGACCTTTGACCACCACAATCTAATCAGATCATCCCTGTGCCCAAGTGGACATTTGTGCCAAATTTGAAAAAAAAAAAAAAAAAAAAAAAAAAAAAAGTAAGGTGTTCCGTAGATATTCACATTATCAAGAATGAACTGAACGAGGTCATAGTGACCTTAACCTTTAAACTTCCGACCACCAAAATCCAATTAGTTGATTCTTGAGTCCAGGTGGATGTTTGTGCCATATAAAAAAAAAATCCCCTCAAAGCGTTCTTGAGGTATTGCATTTACAAGAATGAGACAAAAGAGGACACAGTGACCTTGACCCTCTACTACCAAAATCTAACAAGTTTATTCTTGAGTCCAAGTGGATGTTTGTGCCAAATCTGAAAATAAATAAATAAACCCAACAACAAACTGTAGAAACAAACCTTTAGGTGTTCACAAGAATGGGATGGAGAGATGGTTGGATGGACAACCCAAAAACACAACTCCTCAGGCCACGGCGATCGGCGGCGTGGAGGCATAAAAATCTGAACTAACCCTTTAAGCCTGAGACTGGGTGCTTCTTAATAGTTATTTTAAGATTATGAAGTGAATAGTGCCGTTTTGGAAGACTGACACTGAGGAGGACAGGAGGGAACTGAGTAGAAAATAAGTTACATTTTTTTAGAGACAGAAAATGCAGGCAGACAATTAAGTAGGATGGTGCATGCAGAGCTGCAGATGACAACAGAGCAGCTCCATCTGGACTGGTCAGAGGTCAACAAGCAGACAGAGAGAGGAGGCGCCCAAGGATGCAGAGGGTACTCACAGGGAATGGTGCGCAGGTACAGGTTGTCTCTGATCACCTGCTGGAGTTTATGGTCCAGGGAGCCCTTCTGAAACTGCAGGCTGAGGTAGTGACGCAAATCAGTGTTCAACACCTTACCTAGTAGAAAGGAAAGAGAAATCTGGGTCAGTCCAACAATTAAATCACGTAGGCGGGCATTTTTCTACACGCCACTCGTTTACAAAACGCCCACTCTGATGATTTGCTTTTGAGACAATCAAAAGGACATGCTGAAATTTAATATTCATAACAAGCTACAACAACTCCACCGACGGACAACAATGTGCTACGAGCCCTGAATCAAAAAGGGTCCTTGTCTAGACAGTAATTACTTGTACCTGAGGAGTCTGGGCGCTAAGTGGTGAAGATATTGAAGCTGTATTATGTGATGAAACATTAATTAATTGGGCTCTTTCATTAAAACCCAGATGCACGAATGACAAAAAACAGGAAAATGAATCGAGGACTGCTGCTTCTCAGGAACGACAGCATTTTGAGCAAAGTCTGAGGAAATAAAGGTGGCTGCACTGTCATCTTCAAGGAGGAAGGAAATTTACCATTCTCCTCTGAGCGACAGAGAGGAAACAGGGAGATAAAGAGAGAAAGAAGAAACAGAAAAAGAATTCCCTTGTGTTTGCTCTAGTAGCACTCTTCCTCTCTGTGGACTCCAGCTGTGTGGGGCAGGAGCTCCTTCCTCGGAATGGACACGCAGATTTGCTTTGAATATGGCTTCAGTTACACTGCCGGCATCAAAAACCAGCGCTGACTCCTTGAAACTGTCTGGCAGGGTGTACACAATTAACCTCACACATACGAGTGAGGATGTGAGCACTACGAGTCAGCTATCTCTACAACATCATGTTGCAGTTGTTCTGACAGTTATCAGAGTGACTCACAACTTTATCTGTAATGCGCCTCGTCAAAATCATGTTCTACCACGGGCGGACTACGAGACAGTAGGGCCCCTGGGCACAGATATGCAATGGGCCCCGCCACCTCTCCCACTCAGGAGCAGGACGCACAGGTGGTTGTGGATGTTTTGTGCCCCTTTGTGTTGGTTATGCATCTTCTGGTATTTGTCTCTTTGAGGTAATTTTGTGTTTTTTAGTTGTTTTGTGTCTCCTTGTGGCTGTTGTTCGTCTCTTTGTAGTCCTTTTTGTCTTTTTGCAGTTGTTGTGTGTCTCTCTGTAGTCGTTAATTGTCTCTTTGTAGTCCTTTGTGTCTGTTTAGAGTTGTGTGTCTCTTTGTAGTTCTTAGTTGTCTCTTATTGGTCATTTTGTGTCTCCTTGTGGTTGTTTGGTGTCTCTTTGTAATATTTGTGTCTCTTTGTAGTTATTTTGTGTCTCTTTGCAGTTGTTGTGTGTCTCTTTGTAGTCATTTTATGTCTCCTTATGGCTGCTTCATGTCTATTTGTAGTCATTTTGTGTGTCCTTGTGGTTGTATCTTGTCTCTTTGTAGTCATTTTGTGTCTCTTTGTAGTCATTTTGTGTGTCCTTGTGGTTGTTTCATGTCTCTTTGTAGTCATTTTGTGTGTCCTTGTGGTTAAGTCTTGTCTCTTTGTAGTCATTTTATGTGTCCTTGTGGTTGTTTTTGTCTATTTGTAGTCATTGAGTGTGTCTTTGCCATTGATTTTGTCATGTTATAGTTGTTTTGTGTCTCCTTGTGGTTGTTGTTCATCTCTTTGTAGTCCTTTTTGTTTTTCTGCAGTTGTTGTGTGTCTCTTTGTTGTTGCTCATTGTCTATTTGTAGTCATTTTGTGTCTCTTTGTAGTCCTTTGTGTCTCTTTTCAGTTGTGTGTCTCTTTGTAGTCTTTAATTGTCTCTTTGTAGTCATTTTGTGTTTCCTTATGGCGGCTTCATGTCTCTTTGTAGTCACTTTGTGTCCCCTTGTGGTTATTTTGTGTCTCTTTGTAGTCACTTTGAGTGTCCTTGTGGTTGTGTCTTGTCTATTTGTAGTCATTTTGTGTCTATTTGTAGTCATTATGTGTGTCTTTGCCATTGATTTTGTCATATTACAGTTGTTTTGGTCTCCTTTAGAGGTCATTTTAAGTCTTTTCTGTCACTTTGTAGTCATTTTCTGTCTCCCTGTAGTTGTTTTGTGTCATTCTGTAGTTGTTTTGGTCTCTGACTGGTTAGTAGGTGTTGATTTGAGTGACATTTTACAAGGTAAGGCCTGGGGGCCCCTGACACTTTGGACCCCTGGGCCTGTGGCTGGTAGGCCCGTTCAGTCATCCATCCATGTGCTCTACATCTGCTTTTTCTCTTTCCTATGGTCTCACACACATCTCTACAAGGCTGGAATACGCTACTGTTTGCTGGCAACGTCTGCCAACTTCTCTGACGCAAGTGTTAAGATCCTGCAGATTTTCTGTAGATCAGAAAATGTTGACAAATCAAAATCAAACAGAAGCCAGGCTGTGAGATCTGCATCAAGCTTCTCTGAGGAACATCGGTCAGTATGATAATACACACCTCTCCCAGCAAGACACCTACAGAGATTGTTAATACACGACTTTGCCATCATGAGACTAATTCTGCTGTCGGCTAATCTGCTGATTAATATTTTACCATACTACAATACTCTGAGTCAGTGTGTCAGACACACACGCACTCAGAAGTCATTGAAGACTTCTTTGATTTCAATATGAAACATTTTTAAACTCCATTTGAATCTTTTTACTAATGTATACACACTCACACACAAAAAGAAATCCTGTCTTTCAAAAGAGTGGCAGGGTTCAAACAAGCAGAAAATTGCAGAAGGAAACAGAATAAAACATAATCATACTGTGTAGTAACAAAGAGAAATATTCCCACAGTAAAAGTAAAAGAACATTTTAGAGTGAGGAGCATCCTACGCATCCCACACTCAACAAGAACTCTACTCTGAAACTTCAACAGTATTTTTCATGCTTTTCAGCAGGAAGTACTGAAGGATGGACTTGACTGCTGGGGAGTAAAAAGCTATCGCTTGCCAAATTCAAAAAAATTGTAAATTAAATGAAGTTCTTTCATTCAGCCCCTAAGGGGACAAAAACGACTCCCGCTGGGACGGCAGATCAGCGGCATCATGAAGCCAGGTCGAGGGGGTCGATTCTCCCCCCTTAACTTCTGCCAAAAATGATGCTGAAAATATTTTTATGAAAAGCTCTCTGAGCAATGCTTTTGCTCTGCAGGCAAACACATAAGCTAATAATTCAAGTGATTCTGAAATACTGAGCTTACAAGGTTGCCTGCTGCTTTACTTAAAGGCATACTTTGAAGATTTTCAACCAGCTTTGTATCACCAATGTGGGCAGTGTGTGTAAATGAACTATGGTAAACTTCCCTGCATCTCACCAGCGCTCAGATCTTATAGCTTAAATTAGCCAGATGAGACGAAATGTGCTTTAAAGGTCCAGTGTGCAGGATTTGGGGGGATTTATTGGCAGAACCTGAACAGGATATAATAAGTATGTTTTCTTTGGTGTAAAATCACCTGAAAATAAGAATAGCTGTGTTTCCATTACCTTAGAATGAGCCGCTTATGTCTACATAGGAAGCAGGTCCTTGTATACAGAGTCCAACATGTTAACTGACATGTTTCTACAGTAGCCTTGAATGGACAAACCAAACTTTGGCTCAAGATAAAGCCATTCACATTTTCGTGTCAGACACTGTAATTAGCAGCCCCTAGCGTCAATAAAAAAATCATTTTTTTTATTCAGTGTTTTTACCTGCTTAAACCACAGGTCCATTTGTTTTGAAGAGGAAGAGACCTCTGCGGATAATTTGGCTCCAGGTAAAAACCTCCTGAACATCTGGATCTTAAGGTATTACAGATGAAAGGTGAGTACACATTAGCAGGTGCTAGGCTGGGGCCCTGTCCCTGACGAGCCAAAAAGCACAGGAGAAACACTGATGTGTAATGTAAAACTGCTTTTACCTGTTTTAATCCACCTCTGTGGATAACGCAACACCTGGTAAAAACCTCCTAAACAATGAACACTGAAGGAATTCTAACCGGGAGAGGTGTCAGCTGGTTGCAATCTGCAGTTCTCACCATTAAATCTTGTTAAATTTTGCACAGGTGGCAATTGGGCCCCTCAACCCCACGGGCCCCAGTGCAGCCTGCGGTGTCTATAGTTAGTGCTGTTCAAATATAAACTATGATTCTGTTTCTGCATTGCCTAAAATATTTTCAGAGATCGCTTGTTAGCAGCTGTTTGACATATTGTTTCCTGTGTAATCAGGACCAACCTCGTATTATGTCGCCCACCAGCTGAAGATTTTATTGGTTCGGTGTGGCTCAGTGCATTCTGGTAGTTGTAGGTTTACTTCTTGAGCAAAAGCAAATGTAGCATCACGTTCAAAAGTATTTAAGTCTCTCTACTGAATAGACAGGCCAGTTTTGTGACCATCTTTCCAGTGGTGAAATATTTCTCAAAGTTGAATCGGTCCAGTAACTGCACCATGGCAGAGGTACGAGTGAGGGCCGGGGCCAAGAGAAGCATGGCTCTCAATTATGTAACTCTATAGAGTTTTTACTGGCACAATGAATGTGAGGAATTTAGGTCAACGAAACAAAAGCCGGGTCTGGCTACGCTTTGCAACTGGAAAGCCACAAGCCTGCGGTGCATGTTCCCAGAAGCTATGAGACATGAAAACCCCAAAACAAACACAAACAATATACATCTCGGTCCCTCCCCTGCCGGGTCGGGCCTGTTCCCATGTTCAAGGGGATGGGAGTGACTCTAGATTCACAAGGGGCTTTTATCATGCTCAGATTTGCCTCTCTGGATCCATTTTCAGGGACTGCATTTAAAGATCAGCTGGTTTCAGTACGGACAATTGATGGAGCTAATTGTTACCACAGGATTCCTGCAACTCAGAGTAGATACCCCACTGGGTCAACAAAATCAATCTCTCTCCTTCTGTCTCCCACACACACACACACACACACACACACACACACACACAAACACATGCAAATCACCTCCTCGGCCCACAGCAAACTCCCATTCAAGTGCTTCTAACAGGGCAGTCTTTGTGGCCCGCCTGTCAGGTTGCGTTAGCGTGCTGCATCATATCTCCAGAGACGGAGAGAGAAAGAGAGAATGG